AGAAAAAATACTTAATTTTTAAATGCCAAATATTTTTCATGTGCTCTTTCACTTTTTTGGCAGGGACAGGGTTTTGTTGTGTAATTCAGGATGGCCTTTAACTCACTGTGTAGCAGAGGCAAACCTCAAACTCTGGGCAATTCTCCTGCCTCGGGCTCCCAAGTGCTGGTATTACAGGCATGTGCCACCTTGGCCAGCACTTACTTACTCTTTCATATTCTTACCTACCCCCTATATTTAAGTACAGTGAATTAAGTACAATGAAATTGTTAATTTGTCTCTCTCAACTGCTTTTAAGTTGCCCTCAGGAAGGGAGACACATAGGAACCGCAGAGGTGCTGCTCCTCAAATCAGCATCAAGTAAATGTGTGAGCCAAAGTCTTCAAACTTCAGTGGCCATGAAAATGTATTAGTCTTGTCTTCTGCTACTGTTCTGCTTTTATCCACACCTGCGCTTCCATGCCAGGGCTGCTCTAGGTTTTCGTTGAGCCTAGTACAGCTGCAGGTACAGGTCCATCTCTGGGGTGTCAGGCTCCTCTAACCGGAGATTTTGCCTCAAGACCTCTCTTGGCTAGGGTTTTTTTACAGTTGTCCTGCAGCCTAAACTCATCCTACGACTGTCGTCATTCCTTCTCTACTCACAGCAACCAGACCCACATCAGTTGTAAGGTCTCTCTGCCTATTCTGTTTCCCTCACATTTGGTCCTTTACAACTATTTTCCATAATAAATTTCTTAGATTTTGAAAAATACAATTAAATGGTACTAATTGGTTGTTAATTTATATTGTTAATTTATTACAGCTGAATGTACAACATACCTCAGCAAAACTTGTAACAACGTAGGAACAAAATAACCAAGAATCATTTTATTAGAGGTACTTGGCATGCCAGGGTTGCTGCAGTTTGTATTTATAAATTAGTGTTGCATTTTGTAAAACCTGTTTTTAATGTGGAAAACCTTACTGTGATTTATGCCACATACGTGAAAAGCTGTGAAGATTTTCCATGTGTTGGTTTCTTTGGGAATATATTACTAGTGAGAACTTACTATTAATGTAATTGACAGTAAGTCACTGAAAGATATTGTAGAATCCTCTTTTGCAAAATTTGTTTCTTTCTGTCTTTCTTTCTTTCTTCCTTTTTTTCCTTTTTTTTTTTCTTTCTTTCATTCTTTCTTGTAACGGGGATTGAACTCAGGACCTTGCAGTTGCCCGGCAGGTGTTTGTGCCACTGAGATACATCCCCGGCCATTCTGTGTATTTTTAAAATACATACTACTGTAGTTTTAAACAGTAAACTGCTTATAATATAACTGAGAGTAGGCGAATCCAGACTGCTACCACTTTAGTTGAAATAAAGGCCTAAAATGAAATTCCATATACATTTTCAGTCTCCATAAAGTTTTATTTGAAATATGTGCTCAGTCATTTACGTATTATCTGTGCTTGCTTTCTTGCTACACTGACAGAGTTGAATAAGTGTCAGACTGTATGGCTGAGTGTTGTTATGGTTTGTGTCTGGGTGTCCCCCCAAAGCCTCAAGTGGTCATGGGGCAGGCTTTTAGAGTTTGATTGATTATGGGTGTAAGAGCTGCACCCACCCCTGGGGTGGATAGTTTGCATATGTAAGGGAGAGGAAGAGGCTGCTTGGGGCCATTCCTGGCTTTTGTGCTTGTTACTTTTGCTGTGTTCTGCCGCCCTGAGCTGTAGCTCTCTGCCATGTGCCACTCTGCCTTGTAACTTGCCAAGTACGGACTGAAACCTCCACAAACTGTAAGCGAAATAAACCTTTCCTTCCTTAATTTTGGGCGTCAGGTATTTTGTCCCAGCAACGAGAAAAAAGTAACCAAGTCAAGTGTAAAACGTTTATTATCGATGTTGTACAGAAAAACATTGGCTAATGCCTGACCTAGCTGCTAATTTGATTTTCCTTAGCTATTGATACTAAAGTTTTTCTATATCATTGTAGAATTTTGACATTATAATCTGTCAGAAAGTTATTTTAGAGAAACACTATAGACATATGGAAGAACAGTATTTTAAATCTACATTATAGATTTGTGAAAAACGATACAAAAATGGGGTGGAGACCATAATTTTCATTCTAAATAAAAACAATTCAGTGACGTAGACCAATTTTTAAAATGCAGATATTGGCTGAAGCTACCACTGAAAAATAATAGGAATTGCTTTGAAAAAAATATTGAAGAACAGATATTTATACTATCAGTGTCATATAAGCTTTCCCATGAATTACAGTGAAGTAATTCCTACTGCCTGTAATCTTATTTATTATAATGGTTCCAGTACAAAACGTTGTTTTTAAATTTCTTCCTTGTGATGACTACCACTTGTTACCCTTTCAGTAGACGTTTGTAGTATCAGTAGATTGTACATTAGCATTACATAGAGAAAATTATGTATGAACTCAAAAAGTTTTCATTTTGGGGAACATTATTTGTTTATTATGCTGTTTGGCATCTTCCATGTAAATTAAAATTTGCTAAGATATTTTACTAATGTTTCAAAACATCTTAAAAGCTGTATTTCATAAATTGCAGTAATACCTGTGAATTAGCTTTTTTTGTTTTTATTACTTCCATTTTGCTGTTTTTTGTTTCTAACCCATATGGTCAGAACATGATTGGTAGTACTGGAGAAGGAAGTTTCTCTTGACAATACAGGTTCACATTTTTTCTTAATCTTTAATATAGTCAGTTGTGTTCTTTCTGCTTGCAGACCTGGCTTGCATGTACAAGTTGTTTAGTCGTGTGCCAAATGGTTTGAAGACGATGTGTGAATGTATGAGTTCTTATTTGAGGGAGCAAGGTAAAGCCCTTGTTTCTGAGGAAGGAGAAGGAAAGAATCCTGTTGATTATATCCAGGTAATAAACACAGAAAATTCTCTTTATATTATGGTAAAGCCATTTTGACCTGTGATTTTATAAAAAGATCACTTTTATGGAAAGTTTTTACATTAGTAACATTTTACATTTAGTATGTAACTGTGTTATGTATTCTGAGTCTAATTATTGCAGTGGTGAACTGGTATGTATAATTATCCTAAATATTTTATAAGTTTGCAAGGTGTATATGTTCATATCAGAATCAGACTCAGGCACTGCTTTCCATGTTAACCTTATCAAGACCTTTTATAAGAATAGTCTCAGTAATGAAAGTGAGCTTTTTTTATGTCTTAGCTTTGTGTACTTGAATGTATATAAAACATATAAATGTGTTAGGAAAAACGAATTGTGTCTTAGTTTAATATTTTTTGTCTCAAAATGTTTTGAAGCAGTATTAAGACAAATTAGGCTCCAGGTTCATATTTACTATAAATAATCAGCTTTCTTGCGCATTTTTTAAACTGAGTTTTGTCTGGCTAACCTGTTGGGTCAAGGCAGGAGAGTGAAGTGAAGCAGTAAGGAGGTCTTTTGGCTCATCTTTTATACAGTAACTAATCAGTGAAGACAGAATACTTGTAACATCACTGACATTTTGAATATAGGCCAAGAGGCTTGAAAATTACGTAGATTCTACAGGTTTACCTCAGAATGCACACATTTATTATGATCATAAGTATGTATATGTAAAAAAAATTACAATGAATTCTAAATTCCTTTATTTTTATTTGTAAGGGCTTACTGGATCTGAAGAGTAGGTTTGATCGCTTCCTCCAGGAATCATTCAATAATGACCGGCTTTTTAAACAGACTATCGCTGGTGACTTTGAATATTTTCTCAACCTCAACTCCAGGTCCCCTGAATACCTCTCATTATTTATTGATGATAAGCTGAAAAAGGGAGTAAAAGGGGTGAGTAGTAATGTATTTGAAAATACAATAAACTTAGCTGTTTTTTTGTTTTTTGTTACCAGAAATGGAACTCAGGACCTTGCGCTTGCCAGACAGGTGCCATGCCACTTAGCTGTATTCCCAGCCCCTTATTTAATGATATGAAGTATAAATTAGCAAATTTTCTAGATACAAACTTAAGCAGAGCTCTTCACTGTGTTTAAATGTGCTATGATCTATTACAAAGTATTGTTTAAAGTATTTACATAAGTTGTTCGACATTTCACTTAATGTGTAATTGGCATGAAAAACAGCTGCATAGGTATAATTCTTAAGACATTTACAATGACTGTGAGAATTAGGTATGCTGTAAGTGACAGAAAACCTGGAAACTCCCATAGTAGAGAATGTTTCTTGCTTTCCTCTAGTTCTGGAGGTTATATATCAAGCATACACAGATTTTGGGAATTTCAAAACATATACTAAAGCTCAATTTCAAGTCTTTATGATTATCTCAGGAACCTTGGACATGTAGAATCAAACTAACCAGATTTTGATTATATAGGAATTGGCCTTTTTCCACTTTATCTTAAAATTTAGGGGACAGAAGGGAAAAGTAGTAAAATGGTCACAAATTGTGCGGAAGTACTAGCTGTAGTAAGAAAATAGAAAGATTACTAAGGATGCACAGAAATCATACATCCCCCTAATCTTCCTTTTTACAAAAATAAAAATTTAATACACCCTTCGCCATATTATCTTGCCCTAATTTAAGGGGTAAGGGCAAGGAACCTTTTAGTGTTTGGATTATAACAATCTTTACCCTTCTCTGCAAAATTTAGGTTTTGAATGAGTTTAAATGAAAAGATCTGTCTTTTGGCTATGTAAGTTTCTGCTTAAATATTATGTAAAAGTTTCTAAAATATCCTTTATGACTAAAATTTTACTTTATTTGTTCTTAGTCATCCCTATATTACCTCATCCCTCCAGTTTAGTGATAGCCCTGTAAGGATGGAATGCCACTCCAGCCCCTCATTAATGCTGCGCTAGATGAGAGTGTAAGAAGTGTGCTGCTATGTGAAATAAGAGGCTCTCTCTCAAACCAGATCCCTATTGCTTCTGTCAGCCAGATGTTTGCTTTCAAAAAAAATAATTGTATTTAAACTGCAGATGAGCTGTGGCACTTTTTGTATAACTAAAATTTTATAATTCCTAAACTATCTTTTGATTTTTCAGCTAACAGAACAAGAAGTAGAAACAATATTGGATAAGGCAATGGTCCTTTTTAGGTTTATGCAAGAGAAAGATGTATTTGAACGTTATTATAAACAGCACTTGGCAAGGAGGCTTCTCACAAATAAAAGTGTTTCTGATGACTCTGAAAAAAATATGATATCTAAATTAAAGGTAAGGTATATTTTGAAGTGTGCCTACCTAACATTTATTATTTGAGTGCCTACAACATGTGATTGGATGATGATGTACTTGATTTTAAATGTTTACTTCAAAAATTATTAAAGGTACATTGTTTTTGAGCAGGACAAAAGCTTGTGTGTTACTTACTTTTCTCCTTGTTCAGACAAAATACCCAATATCCAAAGTGAGAGGAGGAAAGATTTATTTGGCTCATAGTTTGTAGCAGTTTCAGTTTCATAGTCAGCTGGCTCCAAGGCAAGATGGCATGGAAGAAGGGCATTGCAGAGGAGAAGCATTTTATAGCCAGCAGAAGGGAACACGCAACAAGGGATAAACTACAAGTAACTAGCAGCAAGCCTCTTTCTGTCCCTTATGTTATGTATTTTGTTACCATGATGATGATGATGATGATGATGATGATTTTAGACTACCTACCCTGAGGTGGATAATGCTCATACTCCTAATCTAGCATTACACCATGAGTCAGTCACACCCCAGCCACCTCTGAAAAAGCCTCACCTATGATGACATTATGTTTTTTGGGGGATGTCTACACACATGCCATGACAACTCTACTTACAGTTTTTCAAGTTTTGTGATAGAGTGTTCTGGAATTTGTATTGGCATCACAGAGGATGGGTGAAAGATTAATAAATGAGAGACAGTACAGAGGAAGATAATTACCTTGCAGTTTTGTTTCCTAAAAAGTGGTCTGTAAATACCTATAGCTGAAGTATCTGAGGTGCTTGTTAAAAAAGCACAGTTCTAGATCCTCCTTTCCGTGGACACTGAAAGTGTCTGGAAGTTTGCATTTTGAAGTAAAATCCTTGGATTATTCTTAAATGTCCTAAAATTTGGCAATCATAGGCATATAGCAACTAGTAGGAAGATTTATAAGGCGATTATCAGGGGTGACAGTAATACGGAATAATTTCTTTGTAGATTCTCTGATGGAAAATTCCACCACTTATTTGTATATACTTGTGTTTTTCCTCTACAGACTGAATGTGGATGTCAGTTTACATCAAAACTGGAAGGAATGTTTAGGGATATGAGCATCTCAAACACAACTATGGATGAATTCAGGCAACATCTACAGGCAACTGGCGTAAGATTCTGTGTTAAATTTCTATTCATATAGTTAGTGAAAATATTTTGCAATGAAGGATAAGTCTTAAAATGTGAGCTACCTGTTACAACAACATTTTGCTCAGTGTTGTTAAATGGGGCTGAGACATTAGGAGCATGCCGTTAGTACGTTAAGATGGTAGAAACTGAGGTGAAAGAGATTATCACAGATTTTTCTCTAAAATTATAAATATGACCCTTAGACATTTTAGCTTTAAAAGGGACTAAAACTGAAGTTCTCTGTAACAGCAGTAAGACTATTCACATTCTGAGTTTTCCTTTTAGTATTTGTAAGTTAACATTTTAAGCAATAATTGTAATTGTTTGCCAAAATAGTTAAACTTTGCAAAACACTCTGTATGTCTAACCTTTAATAAGATCTGTTTTGCATACTAAGTATTAGACATGGAGATAACTAATTTGATAAATCTAAATATCTACATGGCTAATCTCAACTGTAAGGAATTGCCTTTTTCTGCTTTTATGTAGGTATCTTTGGGTGGTGTTGATCTCACGGTCCGGGTGCTCACGACTGGATATTGGCCCACTCAGTCAGCCACACCAAAGTGCAACATCCCACCAGCACCAAGACATGCTTTTGAAATATTTAGAAGGTAAAGCTGAATTAGACTTTGTATTTCTAAGTACAAATAATTGTCCCAAGACTGAAGTAAATTTTAGCATTAATGGTATCCCTAATTAAGGATGAATAGATTCCATTTTTTACCTAATGTTCAAAAAGAATTTATCGTTTGTTTTTTAACATGTAAAAATGAGTTACATAAGACTCTTCTCAGAAATATATTTTACTAATGTCCTCTCTAAAGCATAAGTGCAGGGGGAGTGAGTATATTTTGATATTTGTTAATAGTGTTTTATACTTTGATATTTGTTACTAGTTTCAGAGGCACTGACTGTGTGTGGAGAAAGGTGGTCTTACGAACAGCAGGGCTGAGCCATAAGCTAGGGAGAGTGCACAGTAGGAATTATGTGGTGTGCTACCTTTATCATTTAGTATCCAGCTGAGTTGCTTAGGTCTTACATGCACCCACTCCTATTTCCCCCTCTCTAAGAAGTTGGAGCCCAGCTTAATTCCTAAGGTTTTCTTTAACTTTAAGGCCTCCCTTTAGATACGTGTTTCTAAGGATTGTTTTTAGTTTGTAATTTCAAATATGCAAGTTGTGTGAGTTTCTAAAACCTGATTTGATTTGCTAAAGGTTCTACTTAGCCAAACACAGTGGCCGACAGCTCACACTCCAGCATCATATGGGCTCTGCAGATCTCAATGCCACTTTTTATGGTCCAGTTAAAAAGGTAAATATTGATAGTTAACTAGTCTATAGAACTCACTGGTGACTCACTGGTCACCTGGGTAGACCATTTCTCTTCTCTACCTTTATCTGATACTAAAAGGTTAAATTTTTCATTTTATTTTCATTATTATTCCTTCAGTTGCTAAATAACTTCATTTGAAAGTAGTATGTACCCTTCATAAGATGATTTAATAAGATGATGAGGTTGAACTGTGACATTGGTGCATAAAATGTAAATTGAGGACATACAAAGCCATAAGATCCATTTCAGAATTTTTGGTCTCTCGTAATCCTTTTTCCCTTTTCTTTCTAATCTTTCATTTTTAATTTGAGTTTTTTTTAAATATATTTTATTAGTGCCTGTTAACTATACAAAATACTGAGTTCCAGTGCATGTGTTTGGAGCATATCTCCCCCCCAGTGCCCTTTCCTGCAGCGCTCCACCTTATTCCCTGCCCTGTGTAATCTCTACTTTCACGTTTTTTCTATCTGTGTATTGGGGAAAACACAGTGTAATTGTCATTCTAACTCTGGTTTACTTTGCTTAACGTGATGGTCCCCAGATGCATGCATTTTCTTGCAGATTACTTAAGTTCACTCATTCTTATAGCTGAATACTCCATTATATTTATAAACCACACTTTTTTTATCCATTCATCTATTGATGGACCTGTGCATATTTCAGTATTTGACTGTTGTGAATTGTGCCAACATAAACATGACTGTCTAGGTATTCCTGTGGTATAATACCTTTAATTCAATTGGGTGTATACCAAGGAATGGTATAACTGAATCAGATAGGCACACTATTTTTAGTTGAGAAACCTCCACATTGCTTCCATAGTGGCTGTGGTAATTTACAAAGCGTGGTCAAAATATGCAATAAACATTTAAGTTTAAAAAGTAAAAGATTACAGTAAAAGACTTACTGCCATTAAGCTGTCTCAGAATACTCCCCCTAACTTTGAACACGCTTAGCCCATCAGTCTTGGCCCTTTCTGAAGCAGCTTTGAAAGTCGTTTTTCATGTCTTTAAGGGGTATGATCAAAAGTAGGGTCATATGAATGCTGTTGCTGAGTGCCATCCAATGGACAGGCAGGCTCATAAAAACACTGCAGTGTATCCTCATCTAGCCTGTTCACTAGATCTTACTCTGTGTGACTTTTCTCTCTTTCCCAAGTCAAAAATGACTGTGAAAGGTAAACGTTTTTTAATCAATTCAGGATATCAAGGCAGCCTTGACAGAGGGACACTGACAGAAAAAGACTTCAGAACTGCTTCAGAAAGGGACGAGAATGATGTGTATTCAAATGGGGGGGATATGTTGATGGAAATTAATGGTAATGTGTACTGTAATTATATATATAAAATTTGAACATTCACTGTATTGTTTTACCACACTGAGTACATTTCCACCAGCATTGTAGAAGTGGTTTCTTTGGTTTTTGTTTTTAGTCTGCATCCTCAGTGGCATTTACTTTTTTATTCTTGATGGTACCCATTCTGACAGTAAGGTGAGATGGAATTTCAGTGTGGTTTTAGCTTGTATTTCCCTAATGCTTGAAGATACTGAGCAATTTTTAGTGTACTTACTGGCCTTCTATACTTTTGAGAAATCTCTGATTAATTTGCCCATTTACTGATTGGGCTGCTTGATTTGGGGTTGGCTCTTTTTTGAGTTTTTTATATATTCTAGATATTAATCTGCTGTCAGAACAGCAGCTGGCAAAGATTTTCTCCCACTCTGTAGGTTGTCTTTTAACTCAGTTGTTTCCCTTGCTGTGCAGAAGCTTTCTTTTATCTTTTTGGTACTGGGAATCAAACTCAGCACCTCACGCTTACCAGGCAGGCACTGTGCCACTGAGCTAAATCCCCAGCCTTAGAAACTTGTTCACTTGATACAATCCCCTTTGTTGATTTTTGCTGTTTTTGTGCCCTTGGACTCTTGTTGAGGGAATTCTTTCTCTGTGCCTGCAGCTTCAGGTGTTTCCCTTTTTTCTTTTAGCAGTTTCATAGTTTTAGGTCTTAAATCTAGGTCTTTGCATTTTGTCCTTTTGAGACCAGGTCTTGCTATGCAGTTCAGGCTGGCCTTGAACTCGCTTTGTAACCCAGGCTGGTCTCGAACTTGCAACGATCCTCCTGCCTCAGCCTCCCGAGTGCTGGGATTACAGGCATGCACCATCTATCTCACCTGGCTGGTTTTTCCATTTTGAATTGATTTTTTTATATGAGCAAGAGATAAGAATCTAGCTTCATTCTTCTGCATATAAATTTCCAGTTTTCCTAGCACCATTTATTAAAGAGGATGTCTTTTCTCCAGTGTATATTTCTAGCTTCTCTATCAATCAGATGGCTGTAGTTCTATGGGTTTGTTTCTGTGTCTTGTGTTCTCTTGGTCTATGTACCCATTTTTGTGTCAGTATTGTGCAGTTTTTATAATTGTTACACAGTCCTATTTCTGATAAAACCAGGAAAAATTGATACTTTAACATTTGTGAGATACACAAATGTTACTAAAGTCATTTAAGAAAAATTTGCACTTGTGGTTATCTTACTCTTTAAAAAGTAATTGAGTTTTGCAACTCCGAGATTTCATCTGACCCCAGAAAGCACGGCTGTCATGAAGAAATCAACCAATAACAAATGCTGGCAGAGCTGTGGGGAAAAAGGAACTCTTGTCTACTGCTGGTATGATGATAGACCAGTACAAACACTATGGAAGTCAGTGTGGAGATAACCTCAAAAAACTAGGATTAGCGGTCCCATTTACCTAGCTATTCCCCTTCTGGGTGTCTTCCCAGAAACATTAAAAACATCATACCACAGTGATATATGTGCACCCATGTTTATAGCAGCACAATTTGTCATAGCTAAAGTTTGGAAACAACCCAAAAGTCCATCAACCAAGAAATGGATAAAAAAAAGTTACGGTACTACTAAGCTGTAAAGAAGGATAAACTCAAGGCTTTTATAGGTAAATGGCTGGGTGTGGTGGCACACGCCTGTAATCCCAGCACTCAGGGGGCTAAGGTAGGACGATCATTGCAAGTTTGAGACCAGCCTGGACTACAAAGTGAGCTCAAGGCCAGCCTGAACTGCACAGGGAGACCTTGTCTCAAAAAGGACCAAAACAACTAAAACAAAATACAGGTAAACTGATACAACTTGAGACTGTACTCATAAGTGAAATAAATCATATTTGTATGTGTAAACATTGTGTCATCTCCCTAGTGTAAGAAGCTGAAAGAATAATTAAGATCCAAAAGGTACAATAGATATTGTGAATAGATATTGTGAAATGGGAAGAATAGCTCAAAGGAAAGAAGAACTGGGGTAGGAGGAAGGAGAAAAGGAGGAAGAGAAAAGTAAAAAGAAAATACATATATATACATACACAAGATAGCTAAGAGAATTATATTACTAATTTCTGTTAGTTCATTGAAAAGAGTGGTTTGTGCTTGTGTTGTTTAATCAGTTTTTCATGCCTGTATCTTGTAATCTGAGCAGTGACTTTGAAGATAACAATACATATTGTATTAACCATTGTTAACCATCTGTTATTTTGAAATTTTGTATCATTTTTATTTTTTCTCTTTAAAATAATTGGTTTTTTATCTAAAATTGTTAGGTTTAGAGTATAGTAATAATTTTCATTACTTAGTATGAAGCAAATCTGGTTCATTTGCTGTAAAACAAAGTTAACAAAAAGCTTCTAGAAAAACATTAAAGAAAAACAAGGTATTATCTAGGCAGCAAATATGTTTTATTTTAAATTTGAATTAGAATATACTAGTTTTATCTGTTGAATTATTGTAGCACTAAAAGGATTTTTTTTAGTACTTTTGAAAGTGTTATAAGTAATTGAAATGGGAAATAGTTCTTTACAGTGTGTTTATATGAATATTTGACATACTACTATGCATATTTGTATAGGTAGGTTTGGCCTTCTAAATTTTTTTTTTTTTAATTTTGAGAACCATTCTCACTGAGTTGCTCATGCTGGCCTTGACCTTGGGATCCTTCTTCGTCTGTTTCCAAGTATCTGAGATTGTAGGCATGTGCCATCCATCTGCCTGACTGGTACTGCTGTGTATTTAGGTGTGAATGAGAAGAAGGAGACTAAAGAGCTTAGCCTTTATTTCTTGCTGTTTGCTTTAATAGAGAGTGCTTCTAAGTAATGTAGTTTTTGAAAACTTACTAAAGAAATCAAATTTTTAAAATGTAATGCACGTGTTAATTATTGAAAACAAAGATGTACTTTAAACCTCTTAAATTGTAGAGCAGAAAGAGACTTTGAAAACCTAGATTTCCCCTCTGTGCTGTTGTTTTTTGATCTCTTACTGTGATCGCATCACACCAAAAAAACCTGACTACTTTTGATGTTACTGTAACCTCAGTTACATTTCATAAATGCATTATTATATGTCATCCTGTCATGTACTGTTAAAATACTTTTAGCTTTAAGAATAGGGGATTGTTCCTTGCTCAGCTACATTAAAATGGAGAGGAGGCTAGTGAAGACTTCATGTATTTGTGCTTGTGGATGTACACAACAGTATGTTTATATGTGCGTGTGTACCCATACATATTTAATAGATGTCCTTTTTATGTAGGGATAAATAGTTTTGTTGTAGAAAAATGACTTATTTCTGAAAGATACTGTTAAAGTTCTCAGGAGATAATTATATTTAATTTTTTTTAAACCAAACAGGAAGATGGATCTGAAGTTGGTGTTGGAGGTGCACAAGTGACTGGCTCAAATACTCGGAAGCACATATTACAAGTCTCCACCTTCCAGATGACTATATTAATGCTCTTCAATAATAGAGAAAAATATACATTTGAGGTATGGGTTGTGTTATGTACATTTTAACCAGTTTTGTCTCTCTCAGTACTTGAGTCTTCCTTGTATAAGAGTATCTCTTTGAATAAGAGAGAACTGTAAAATTGGACATTGAAACTAGATGAACTGCGTACATTACTGGGTTACATTTCATTTTGTTTTTTATTTAAGTTAACATTATTAAAGTACAATTTTCATATAAAAACCACATGTAAGCACACAATTTGAGTGTGCACCTATGTAACTGCCATCAGTCATGACTACTACCTCCCTTATTTCTTTATACTTCTTGCAGTCCATTCCTTACCCCATCCCTAACTCTGAAGTAGCCCGTGAGCTGCTTTGATTTATGATGGAATTCATTTTGCCTTTTGTAGAATTTCATGTAAATGGAATCCTGTAATGTTTTGTTCAACTCCTTTCATAAAGTATAGTAATTTTGAGATTCATTCCTGTTGTACAACTGTAGCATCAGTACTATATAGTTCATTCCTTTTTTCTGTGGAGTGATATTTTTATCATAGATGTGCTATATTTTCTTAATTTGTTTGTTGGTGGGATTTGACTTGCTAACCAAACTTGGGCTGTTGTGAATAGAGCTATATATTTGACTTTTTAAGCAGCTGCCGATCTGTGTTATAAATAATTGTACTATTAGACATACCCAGCAAGAGTGAAAGAGATCTCCAGTTGTTCCACATCCTCTGTGATCTTTATAGTTTTTAGCCATTTTAGCTAGTCTATCACTGTATCTTGTGGATTTTATTTTCCTTTTTGATATCTAATGATGTTGAGCACCTTTTGTGTTTTTATAAAATACTCATGTTTTGCTTGTGAAGTGTGTTCATATCCTCATTATACTGTTTAAGGTCTAAAAATTCTAGATATTATAAATTCTAGACAAGTAATTTGTCAAAATTTTGTGCTGTAAATATAATTAGTCACTTTTTTCCTTTCATAGTTTGTGCTTTTGGTATTCTGAGAAAGTATTGCCTACCATGAAATGGCAAAGATTTTCTTCTGTGTTTTCTTTTATGCAGTTTATAATTTGCAGTTTTTGTATTTAGATAAATGACCATTTTAAGTTAATTTTTATATAGTATGAAGTAAGGCTTAAGATTTTTTTTCCTCACACAGGGAATTGCTCCTTCCAGCATCATTTGCTGATAGCACTGTTTTCTTTTTCCTGTTGAACTGCTTTGGCACCTTTATAAAGAAAAATCAGTTGACCATATATGTGTGGAGCTATTTCTGTAGTGTTGCTTCTGTTTCTTTGAGTACTGTGTTTATCCTTATGCCAATTTTATTGTCTTGATAGTGTAGTAAAGTTTTTCTGTATCCATACATTTTTTTTCCGAGTAACTAGTTATAATATGCTTACTTTTTCCTTCCCCTTTTTTCTTTAAATCATTATTTGATTACATTAAAATTAGTTTCTTTTAATATCTTGAAAAAGTTTCAGAGTTGAAATGAACATCATGTGTTTTTTAGTTGTTTAAACTTAATGAACATTTTTGAAAGGTTTTAAAAGCACAGAGCAATATTTATTACATACAGTTTTCACACACAGGTGAACATAGGAAGAAAAAGTATAAGTTTGAAATTAAGAGCAAGAAGATTAGATTCTAGGCCTATTTTAATATTCATCTCTGTCCTCCCATGTATATAGTGAAAGACTTAATAGTGTTTATGTTATATGTAGAGAAACGTTTTTAAACCTAGGAATTTTTTGTGTTCATTGGCTAAGTTAGGAAGTTTTTCTCCTTATAGTTAACCAGGTAGGTGTTAGATTTTCATACAAGGTATATGCAGTTGAGTCACAGAATATTAAGCAAACATTGAGTCCTTTTGTCAAATATTATAAGACTTTTCAGAGAGGTGGAATTAAATGATCTCCAACAGCTGTTTTTTATGGATGCTAATCTGCAGCTTTCATGAATAATATATTTTAAGCAAATTATGATAGTTAGTAAATGCTGCAAGGGTTTTCAGAGTCCTAGTTTATAAAGACTGACAGAAATAATGGGATAAGCAAAAATACAAGTCTTTTTCCAGAGTTGTCATCATAACTGTGCAACAACCTGAAAAATACTCTAGTGATTCAGCCTTACTTTTTCCCTTTCCCAGTTTGCTTGAAATCATTGATGCTGATGGGCAATTTTAAGAAGGAAGTGGAAAATTCCTCTCTAATGTTGCCAGCTTTCTCTAAGTCACAAACAAAAGCCTGGCCATAGTGTATATGTAATTCCATGCAATGCCACGAGAATCTGTCAAAACTTCCTGGTTGCTCACACCTCAAATTTGGGATATTTAAAATGTGTTATACTTATCTCTATAGTCTACTATGTAATTTTTACTAGACAGCTTTTTTTACAGAAAACATACAGGAGATAGTTTAAAATATATAATAATTTTAATGGATACCATTCTTTATTTTTGAATATCAAGTTCATTAAGATGCTGTATTAGTTATTTAGTGTTACATATTAAATCTCCAGATTTAGTGATTTAAAACGACCACTAAAAATTCATCACTGAGCTGGGGATATAGCTCAGTGGCACAAGCACCTGCCTGACAAGCACAAGGTCCTGAGTTTGATTTTCAGTGCAAAAAGAAATTCATCACTGATAATTTCTATGGGTTAGGGACTCAGGCTTTTATTCACCCACATATCCCTATACATGTAAAACAGCCAACTCAAGTAAGTGTACAGTTCTTTTCCTGTTCCATTGAAATGAGAAAAGAATAGAGGATTGAAAATTTTATGGTATTCCTTCCCCACTGCTTTTCTTTTTTCCCCCAGTGTTGCATTTATTCATACCATAATATGTAACAAAAGTTATAAACTTCAAAACAGACTTCTTACTGATTCTCATGTTTAAGTTTCCAGATATTTAAGTTTTTCATTTGATCTCATAGTTATTTTGAACTCTGAACTTAATTTTATGATAGAATGCTTGAGCTCTGATTTTTTTTTTTGCCTTTGTGAAAGAAATAGCTGAGCATTGAGCAAAACAGTGTACATAAACTTGGAAAAGTGTAAAATATTTCTAAATTTATCAATTAAGGGCTGGGGATTTAGCTCAGCGGCTAAAAGCGCCTGCCTGGCAAGCGCAAAGTCGTGAGTTCGGTTCCCAGTACCGGAGAAAAAACAAAACCCCGAAGTATAAATTTATCAATTAAATGTGGGTAATATTTTATTTTTACCTAAATATTAGAGTAGTTCTTCGACATCTCTGTGGGATGACGTTTTTAAAATAGCTCTTAATAGCTCATGAAGCAAAAATGCTTATGTCTTTCTAATGCTTTATATTTGAATCACTGCTGGCTAGCTCAAATAATTTTAGTGATGAATCATAATATTTAAAGAGTTCTTTGTTGTAAATTGTTGGGCTCACCTTTTCTGTGACCATTGCTTGGTCAGTTTAGTTGCTGATTAATCTACTTTATATTTAAAAATTCCAATTTTGTCAATTTGGTGAAATTTCAGGAAATTCAACAAGAGACAGATATCCCAGAAAGAGAGCTGGTTAGAGCCCTACAGTCACTTGCCTGCGGTAAACCAACACAGCGGGTTCTCACAAAAGAGCCGAAGTCAAAAGAAATAGAAAATGGTCACATATTCACAGTTAATGACCAGTTCACATCCAAATTGCACAGAGTTAAGATTCAAACAGGTATGTGGAATTACATTTTTTTCTCCCAGAAGTTACATATTTCTTTTTCAAGAAAAGAATTCTCAGGCTGGGGATAGAGCTCAGCGGCACAGCCCCTGCCTGGCAGGTGCAAAGTCCTGAGTTCAATTCCTGGTAACCCCCAAAAAAGAAAAAAATTTTCGTCTGCTAGAGTTTTTTCTTAAAAAGAAAAAATCCTGTTTTTGTTCTTAACAAAAGTAATCATTTGTGGTGTTGTATAACACTTCAGCATGAGAAGCAAGACATTTATTGTGTGTTCATGTCAAAATGCAGCTGACTCCAAGTACAGTAAGCCTTTTTAAAAATAATTCATAGTGTAAACAAAGTTTTTCCCATGCATTTTCAGCAAAAACAATTGTATGAGCTTATTAGTATTAATTGTTTTTAACTGGTTGGCTGAACCTAATAGCAGTGGGAGTCTTTTTAAAGGTGTTATGCAGATTTTAAATACTTTCTGAATTTGAAAATCTTAAAACTAATTTCTTAAAGTAATTTTGTTTCTCTAAAAACACAAACACCACTGTTCGGAAGCTTTTAGTATAATCTTACAAGTTAATAATGGAAATGTTCATATTTAACATAACATTAGATATGGTTTTTCCATATATTTTAATGGGGAATCAGCCATTTCACACTTGCTGATCTCTAAAACTCTAATGCAGTTTCAAAACTAGTATTATGTAAGTTTTCTACTGCTATATATATATATATCTGTGAAATCAGTGTTATTTAAAATAAATAAGATCATTTTTAAAATAATTTTTTAAAAGTTACTTTCATATAGTACATCAAATGAGGTATAAACTCTTTCAAAAATTATTTCAGTGTTAAGCATACAACTGATGATCAGACTGTATGGTCTTAAAAACTGTGTATACCCATTTTAAAAACTTACTTCTTCCTTTGACCCTTGACTCTGTTTGTATGGTTTATGCAGTAGGGTGGTGTCTTTTAAAACCTGACACTTTGTTCTGTAGTTGGAAGCTGTGTCATTGTAATTTTCATCAGCCAAGATTGGCCCAGGTCTTTCATCAGTTAAGATGGGCCCAGGGCCCAGTATGTTAAAAATTAAACTTTGAATAAGTATCATGGGATGAAGTGTGGTTTTTTCCTTCGGTGTAAGACATACAACTATAGATTTGGCCAGAAACAGTTTTTAAATTTCATTTATATCCTAGATTTGGAGAAAAATATATGGGTATATAGATATCTGAATTACCTAGGTTCACTTTGTTTAACGCTAAGTAAACTCAGATTCTGTCATGCCCAGTATGAGTATTATCAGATGTTAATATTACCACAAATTATCTTTTCCTCATGGTCTTAGTTTTCAGTGTTGTGTGCATATAGACACGTATGTGAGTGCACGCACATAGTAAGGTAACACTCACTATCTTAGCGAATGACTCTGAAAGCAGTATTCCTAACCAGGGGGTTCTAACTAGAAACAAATGATCTTCTAGAGTCTGCTATCTCACTACACTGCCCTTGCAGTATTTATGTGCTTTGTAATGGTCAGGTTCTTTTTCCAGAACCTTCACATCTACTTCCTTTTAGTGACCCAATAACAAATACTGGTTGCCAGCTGGGCTTCTTTGCTATTTAAATTAGAACAAACTTATAGAAAAAGAAAGGAACTCCTATATGTAACAACCTAGCAGGTGATTTGAAGACTGTAGTGAAAGAAAGTAAGACTGTCTTGAAGATTAGAATATAGTGTGAGTTTGTGATAGAGTTTGTGACAAGAAATGATTAGATAATAGAGTCCAAGGAAATGTAGGCCATAGATACAGGTGAATTACGTCACTGTTGAATTCCTTTTATAGACATCTTAGTAGTGCTTTTTAATTGTTTATTTAGCTGTCAGTACATGCTGTTTTCTTCCTTAAAGTCATATATATTACAGCAGTATTTTCAGTTTGGAGGAGACAGCACACATATGACACTTTCAGTAAAGTATAATTTGAAGCCATGGTGGCAGAATACTAGTTGACCTCTGGAAGTTACAAGCAGTGCAGATTGCTTACTGTTGGATTTTACTACCACTGTTGCCATTTTTCTTCCAGGAAAGGAATTACTGTATTCTATAAAAATAAAATTGATTTTATCATTTCTATTAAAAAATTTTTATCTTAAAGAGAAAAGAACAAAAAGTAACGAAAACAAAGACAAAAACAAACTTTAAAAATGATACAGAATTTCAAAACAAGATGATAGCAAATCAGCAGTGGTTGTTGTATTACTTATTGTTATAAATTCTTCATTTTTGAAAAGAGTAATTTAGGACTGAAATGAACATGGAAGCTTTACTTTTTGAGTATGTGTGTATATTCAGAAGTTGAAAAGGTTTTCTCTCTGTGCATAATTGTCCACTTACAAAATAAATTTTTTCATCACACTTGTGGTAATTGCCATTATTTCTATTTCAGTTGCTGCCAAACAGGGTGAATCCGACCCAGAAAGGAAAGAAACAAGGCAAAAAGTCGATGATGACAGAAAACATGAGATAGAAGCTGCTATAGTGCGGATAATGAAATCTAGGAAGAAGATGCAGCACAATGTTTTAGTAGCAGAGGTGAGAACATTTCAGTGCTGGGTTAATGGAGAAAAAGCAGAATGATAGCATTAACAACTTAAATTTAGAAAAGTACCACATTGAGTTAAAACTGAAACTGTGTTCATGTAATACTTATTAAAAATGAGACACTTGATAACTGAACAGAACTATACACCAGCATATGTACACATTTAAGAACTAATGTATTTGTAATGAAAATGGTAACTTTTTTGTCACAACATGGAAAAAATTCACTGGTACTTAATATCTTTTTATAAACAAACTACCTGGATTTCTCAAACTTAATTACTTACTTTTACTGAGGGTCTTCTGTTTTATATATTGGGAAACTAGAGAGGGAAACACTCAAAAACCATTGAAAGAGGTTAGAGATAACTCAGGTCTAGGTAAAGTATGGGCAGTGGCTAGATAACTGAATCAAGATAAGTGAGAAATAGAATTGATAGGATTTATCAACTGTTAGTGGGAAATAAGCAAGGACAATTGAACCTCGTGATTATTTTTAACTTGAGTGATGGAGATGGAACCCTTTAACCAAAAAAGGAAGGGTAATGTGCTGCTGTATTCCGGTTGTCTGTTAACGCTGATTTTTGCAACTTGTTATATTTTGCCATGTCCAGAGACAAGTAACTGAAAATTAGGTCACAAGTCAGAAAGCAAATGAGAGCTAGGAGGTAAATTGGAAATTCACTCTATGGGAATGTAGTTGAAATGGTGGGTTTGAAATCAGTTGTTCAGGGTATCCTGGAGAGCAAGATAGACCCTTTGCTTGCCATGTATGGAACAGTGAGACGAGCATGACATTGAGAGAAAGCCATTGGCTTTCTGGAAGAGAGTTCATTACCATTATCTGCAGACTTGTTAGAAATACAGATTTGCAGTCACCTTGCAGACCTACTGAACCAGAAACTCTGGAAACAGGGCCCGGTAATCTGGTTTAAAGAGCTCTCTAGGTGATTCTGAAGCATGCTTAAATTTGAAAACAGTGCCAGAGAGTAAAAGAAAAGAAAGTGTGACATGGGCAGGGACAGAGAATTACCAAGGGGCAAGTGGTCAGTACTTAAAAAAAATCATGGAAAAATGAAGCTGAAGAAGCACTGATTTTGGCAAGTAGATGACTAGTTTAATCTTTCTGTTTTCACTGGGCAAGTAAGAGTGGGTATTCAGTGGTAGCGTCTAGATCCTGGCTCATGGAAAGGGCAGGGAGAACATAGATAAGTGGTAAGTGGGGGGTGGGGTCTTTTTTTCTAGATAGGAAGATATTGAATGTGTTTATAGCCTAACGATAAAGAAGAAAAGCTTAAAAACGTGGAAAATGGGATGAGGGGGTAACATCAGAGTCTAGAAAAGGAGAGGACAGGCTAGAAAATGTAGGTGGACAGTGCACGTATTAATGAATGGTGCCTGAGAACACGGGCAGGGTACAGGTAATGTGTACTAATAAGCAGTGAGTGACGTAAGTATGCATAAATGTACAGGTGCTGTAGGGTGGCATTTTGAGGAATTCTGAACTGAGATGGCCTGTCTTGTCCCGTGTGAAACAGAATATGAGGTTATGTATGGGACTCAGGTTGAATAGCTCATGGAGCTTATCAGAAATTTGAAGTACTATTTGTCAGAAAATAGTGCTCAGGAACTTGCTGAACTTGAGTTTACAAATTTGTATTGGTCTTTCCCAGAGGTTGGGGAAAAGCTGTTTAATTGCAAATTGTAGCATGGGAGCCAGTGTAGACAATATATTAACATAGGGAGTGGCTATATTTCAGTATAATTTTACAAAATTAGGCAGCAGGCTATATTTGGCTGTGGATAACAGTTTGTTGACTCTTGACCAACACAGATGATGTTAGAACTACAATTTATACTCATCAAGAAATGCTAGTAGATTGAAAATGAAATAGCAGGTGTAGAATGTAGTTTAATAAAAGTATATTACAGAATAGGAACAAAGAAGTCAGGAGAATTGAAGGTTTAGGGAGTAAGATTGCAGTGATTGTGAGTGTTCTCTAAGCCCTATAAGGAAGGAGGGAAGGTCTGAAAAAGCTAAGAAAAAAGTAAATGTTGGAGATCTCAGGTTGGTGAAGAACAGATTTGTTTATACTGGAATGGTAATCATGGAAATTTGATTGATTTTAGTTGCAGAGGAAGGTGGTAAAGTTTCAGATTTCAAAGAACTATAAATCCATTTGGGGTTTGAGAAGTAAAGATCAAGAGTAAAATAAAAGCCAGCGTATGGGTGGTTGGGTGGTCTGAAAGAAGCAGTGTGGGCTACTGGAAAGAGCCTAAACTACTGGGCCTGTTACTTACTGCTTATTAGCATCGGTTTCATTTCTGGCTTATTTTCCTCTGTTACAAAATGAGGTGGCTTACTTTGCAGAGTTAAGAGCATTAAATAAATTTAATACATAGTGATTGATCAGTAGTATTAGGTAGACTGAGGCTGCTACTGTGCTTGCTGTTAATAATGATCCAATATAGAGGGAGAAAAGAATGACAGCAGTAGCACCTAGTATGGGTAGGCATTATTCGAAGGCATTGTATCTCTTCACTCCTTAAGTGAACCCAGCAACTTCCCATGGTCCTAGGGTAGTAGTGGTAGCCCTTGGATTTGAGTCCAGGCAATCTTAGACCAGAGTTTGTGCTCTTACTCACGTTGTACTAGCCAAATTCTGAGAAACGAGAGTAACTCAGAAGTCAGCAAAATAGTGACATTGAAGTGGTTAAACTGTGAAGTGGTATGTATTGATACTAATACATGATCCAGCTAATTCAACTAGTATTCTACTTTAGTTCACACATGCTGATACAAGGAAGTGTGTTCTAATACAACCTTTTTAAACATTCTGTATTTTTAACTTTGCTAATGGAATCACTAACTTTGATTTCTGAGTCTGAAAATGACATGTGTCACTTTATTCAAAGACAAATTTTTGTGTGTTTATGCGGAAATGTTAAAGAAACGTCTAGTAAGAATTAGTGTTTATACTTTCTTTTTTAGGTAACTCAGCAGTTGAAGGCTCGATTCTTGCCAAGTCCAGTTGTTATTAAGAAACGTATTGAAGGACTTATTGAGAGAGAATATTTGGCACGAACACCTGAGGATCGCAAAGTGTACACATATGTAGCATAAAATGCATTCAAAAATTTGATTTATTCTTGGACCGTACTCTTCGCATGGACTGGGAAGTTCTTTTAAATCATTATTATTAAGACGACCATCTCTTCTATTAAAATTACAGTACATGTTCTAGACCATTCAGATTGAGCCTTTACTCCCTTTGAGAGTTTTCAACATCAGTTGATTGAGCTTCAGGCTTTACAACGTTTATCCCTGTAGAGATCATCTTTACAGTTCCTCGGGAAAATGTGAATGTGCCGCATTTTGTTTTCAATACTGTATGAAAACAGAAAAAAAAATAAAAAACAAATTTAGAAACTACAGCTCATTAAAATAAAATTGTTGGATTTCATTTCCCCAGGTCTTCATTGTTGATGTAAATGTGTTTCTGTAGTGTTGCCAATTAGCACTTTGCGCATTGTGTAAGTTGGGTAACAAAAGTGGCAGAAGAAATGCAAATTTTCCGGTTTCCTTGCTCTACTTAAAACCGTTCTTTAACTAGTCCTGTTTGATTTAGAGGTTTGATGGATATACAAAAATCAAAGCATCCAATTTGAGCATGCTTTATGCTACCAACTTGCACTAACTAACCTTATAGCATTATGATCAGGAACCTTTGTTACACACACCCTCACTTGTTTTTTCCCTGTTGTAATTTGAGAGTTCCCAAATTAAGACTTAAAATAATTAGGTTTTATTCTGAGTTATTTCTAGAGAAAGAAAATATTTTAGTATGTATAAATTGTATAATAATTTGCTGTTGTACTCACTAATAGTGGATTGTATAGGATGGTGTTTTATTTCATCTATTATAGACAAAAATAAGTGAATTTTAAGTATACACATACCCACTAACTCAAGTATTTCTGAGCACAAAATTGGCAGCTGGTTATATTTAATTCAGCCCCTTTGAGAAGCACATACGGTCTACACTTCTTTTATAAATACTTTAGGCTCCCCCGCCACCCACACACACCCATACACACTTTAAGTATGTATTTTGGTGAAACTGTGGTACATTATTAACTATCTGTTTCAAAATGGAATCTAAAAATGCAATAAATATGATTCCCTTGATAGTTTTAACAAAATCTTCAGTTCTTGCAGCTCTGTTTTGGAAAATGAGTTAAGCAATATTTTTCAAACCTGGTTAATTCTGGATATTTAACTGTTCTCTGAAGAAGCATCGTTTCATGTTTTCAACGATGTGCATTGTGCTGAAGATTCATGTGACTTATCCTGTGCTTCCAATTATCACCAATGTTTTTTACCTGATTGATCTGCTGATGAAGGATTATACTTTGCTGTAACTTCAGAGTATTTTTATTGTTAATTTTATTTTCATTTTTATTCTCTATAAGAGTGTCTCACTAAAGATTTCTGTTGGATAGAAAAATGAAATGTTACTAATAAGTTCAAATAGCCCACCCTGGATTGACTGTCATTATTGTTGATACATTTACTAAAACGTATGTCTCAGAAGATGATTTTTGTTTAAATTTACAGGGGATTCTAATATGGATTAAAAACGCCACATATTTTCCTCATGTATCCTCAGTTACAATTTTTCTTTCAGATTTGGAAGTATGCTTTCACTGAACTTAATTTTGTGACCATCTGTAGTTAGATTGAGCCTTATGCTCTTATTTTACGTTTTCCATTTCTACATAATGGAATTAAGTTGCCAATGAAAATTACCATAAACACTCTCAGGACACTTACTGTAGTTGAGTAGATGGCTGTACCGCAGAGCACAGAAGAGTTTCATTTTCTGAAATTCCATTTGGAAAATTCCATTATTTGGAATTTTCTATGTTTACAGGAAAGCATTGGTATTTCAAATTCTCAATTCATAGTTAAATGATATATAACACCTTGGGAAATAGGACAGCTCAAGATTGTCAGGTTAAAAACATGAAAGATGCAAAAACTTTATTTATAATCTCCTAAATGAGAAATTGAAACAATTTGAAGTGCTAAATCATTAAAGTTAAGTCTATGTCGTTGCCTCAGGTGTGGGTATACAAATCAGGACTGTAATTTAGGGACGTACACATTTGATATCTGTGCTGCTTCTAAAGGCTTGTAAGTACTAAAAATCCTTACAGATTACAGTAGAGTTGAGTGGGTGGGGAATGCTGGTGATGATACATCAAGAAAACGAAGCTCACCTAAAATATTTATGGTTTATCTAATGAGTATTTTAAGAATGATTTGGCAATGGTTAATTATTTTGTTTTAAAAAATGTTTATTTTGAATTGTTTCACAATTGAAAATTCATTGCAATTAGGGAACACAGCCTCATGCAGTTGATAGCTGTGGAGATAGCAAAGATTCTTCATGTTAGTGCATTTAAAAATGAAATGTGGGGAGAGATGCATGCTTTAAAAGATACACAAAGGTCATCTGTGTGGCATTGTAAACATGGGTATGTGCCACTCTCCACCCCCTAAAATACTGGTAGGCCCTCTGGGTAAGAATCTTCATAGTCCTAGTGAAACACTGTTGTTCTGTGCACTCAGTATGTTGGGTATCAATATGAAGTAAGAATCTGTGATTGTATTAATAATACGCTTACATCTCTAGAAGATAAGTACACTGGCAGCATCTCAGAGTTCTGAAATACTATTTAGTTCCTCAATTTGGAAAATGTTAAATCCAAACATTGCTGTTTTTTATTTACAGTTTTGAATATTCACGTTGAATGACTAGCATTAACAGGATTTTATCCTTGTCTATCTACTGTAACTTGATAGTATCATCAGTTTTTGTTATGTAATATATCCTATTATTAGGTTGTCTCATTCTTGTAAAGAAAGCTGTTATGTATCAATTGTAGATTGTGTATTATATGGTGCATAGTCAATAAGTGTTGGCAAGAATGTTAAAACATTGCAGGTTAGCAAAATTAGAAGTCACTTTTAGTACAAAGAGCAGAAGTCATTAAAAATGTTAAACCATACCAACATTGAAGTGCCTGCTGTGTGCCAGACACTACCCCAGGTACTGATATATGTTCGTTTAGTTGTCCCGTGGGCTCTGTGTGGTAAGAACTGTCCTACCAGTGTTGCCCAGGCACTGCTAAAACATGGCAGAGCTGAGACTTGACCTACATAGGTTTGATTCTAGGTTCCAGCTCCTGAGCCTATCTATGTTCTGTGCTGCAAACAGACAAGATTTTTCATCCACTATTTTCATTTTGTACCTTCTTCATATGAATAAAACAATGTGGACGCTAAAGTTAATACATGAGCACCTCGATATGGAATTTTGCGTGTTTTTGTTGCCTTTATACTTGCTGGTAACTTCTGCCAGGAAAGGAAGAAGGGACAGTGGTGGCTGCTGTTCCGGAATGTGTCCACTCAGACCCTTTGTAATTTTAGTGAATATCTCTACATACTAAGTGGATCATCCAGATAAATACTTGATTTAAATCTGCAATTTTAGAAATGTTCTCCTTATTGCGTGCTTTTCCTGTACCGATCAATTCTTTATCCAAAATGCATAGGAAGCCAAAGAATGAACAAGTAATGATTCAGAGATTGATCATAAAGCTAGTTCTCAGGAGAATAAGAACAAGTAGAACATCTTGAAACCTTGTTTTAGAAATGACAAATTTACAAATGTATCATTTAAGCACTTTGATCCTCAGTAGTAAGGTCTAAATAGTTCTTAAGGGCTCCAGGCAAAAATGACTTGAGTTTGTATATAAGGAGCTTAAATATGTTGTATATTTTTTAGTGACTTAATAGAGTTATTTCAATATCCTAGTTTAATGCATGTAAGAATTGTTGAAATACGGAGAAATTTAATGTCTCCAGATTCTGCAGTTGTGGTTCTTTGTCTTAGCACAATGTCTGGTATGTGGTGGGCGTAGGCACTCAGTAAAATATCAGATGAATGTGCAAAATGATTAGTGTCTTGAAAGAAAGTCTTAATTAAACTTCATAAATTTTGTACCACATTATGGGAAGTGTGGGTATGACAATGGTTATAAGGATTGTATATTTTACTCATAATTGGAAATTATTTAATCTTTGGTTTTTGAACTAGGCAAAATTAAAAAATGTAGACCAGCTGCTGGATTGTTCCAGAGGGCACTAAATGCCAATTTTAAAGACCTCCTGATGTGCCATCACTGTGACAAGCACTTTGCCAGTACAGGTTCCTTGTATCCTCCCGTGATCCTATAAAAAAATCTCAGACTTAATGGCATAACTCATGCAAGATGCCACCAACATTTAAAGTAGTACAGAATCTTGAACCCAAGTCTCTTAAAGTTTGTACTTTGAGTATTGCTATGTCCTCAGTAATTGGTTGGTTGACATTCTGGATAGAACTTTATAAATTGAATTTGGATCTTAAGATAGATTTTCTTGGCAAATATTTTGTTAAATATTTGTATTGGGCTTTTAGAAAGTATTCTTGATATTGTGAAACTTCTCTAGAGCCTGCAGTAAAAAAAAAAAAGTAATGTTAGCTGTGCTTATTGATGAATATGGTATCTGTATACTATTTATAAATTTATAAAACTGATGTCAGTACATATAGAATTGCATTTATTTTCTATATAATGGTATCCTTTCTATATAATGCCATCCACTTTTTTGCAGTACTCCTGAGATTAACAGTATCGACCCACAGTAATATTACACAAATTTTAGTACCGCATCCAAGTTCAGTAGACTTGCTTTCGCTGGTTAAAAAACAATGCAATCTGTTCTCAAAGAAGTGAATGTTACTAAGGTTATGAAAGTGTGGTGCAGACTCAAAAGCAGTTTCAGAAGTTCAAGTAGCAAGTGCACTTGTTTTCCAACCCAGTTGTCCCTCAAAATTGCCTAGGGAAGTTCCAGAAAAAAATAGTTTGTAAAAATGTCTCTTGTGGAGATTATGAGTTAATAGGTCTGAAATTCTTTAAAGCATCTAAGTTTGGGAATCGTTTTAAGTGACACAAATACAATAAACCTCCAATTTCACCAATTAGGTGAGGACTTTGATTAGGTAAAAAAATGCAAGTTGTGAGATTAACATCTTACATGGCACACCTCAGCTGGTTAAAGCAACATGTTCCTCAAATCGGGATCAGATTTCAAAATGGGCAGGTTTCAAGCTACTACTGGTCACAGATCATAGCCAACTGAATGTCTTGAGGGCAGGCAGGGTCACTAATAGTGTCATCTTAATTAGGCATTCACACTAGGAGGAATAAAATCTAGAAACAGTGTTAAAAGCTCTGTGACTTCTGTCCCATTAATGTTAGTAATACTAAAAGTGATTATCTAATTTAAGAAGTGCCTCCTGAACAGGTTTGGAATTTTTCCCCCTTAAGTACATTTCTGAAGCAATTTTAGTGACAAAAGTTGAGATGTTTGTGCAGCTAATTTTGTGAGATAAACCTAAGAGTAAACCATGGTCTTGGCTAAAGTGTTTCTCATGAGGTTTAGTTTTTGCTTTGATGATCATACGCTTCATCTGACATGAGACTCTTTAAAGGTACTCTTGACTGTAGTATCTACCTCTGGGTTGTCAGTTATGAGCTTTTGTAGAGTCATCCGTATTCCCTTCAACCAGCAGTTAAGCAAACTACTGATCATATGGTAAAACCATCTTTAGCCTTAAAAGAAAGTTCCAAAAGGGCTGGACCATTTTGCATTCCCACCATTAATAAGAGTTCTTGTTGGTCCATGTCCTGGTTGGCATTTATTATCAGGTGTGGGGTTATGTTAGTTTAGAGCTTATCTTAGTCATTTGTCGCTGGTAAAAATACCTGATGCCTGCAACTTAAAGGAGGAGATTTATTTTGGCTCATGTTATAGACCTTTCACTCTTTGGATGGTCAGCCAGCCCCAGGCAGAAGTGGCACACTGGAGGGGTCTAGGGGAGAAAGCTGCTGCCTTAAGGGCAGCCAGGTAGTAGAGATCAGAAGGAGAAACCAGGAGGGAGCTAGACCTTCCAGATCACACTCACAGTGGACTGATCCACTGATAAGCATTTTGCCCCATGATCCAGTCACCTCCAAAAAGCCCTGCTTGTGAGCGCCGGAGGCTTAAGGGAGACAGGTATAAACTGTAACAGGGCTTCTATCCATTCAGATAGGCATATAATGGTATCTCCTTCCTTTTCTTTGCAGTTCCCTAATGATAAGACACTCAGAAGCTTTTCAATATGCTTATTTGCCATCTGCAGATCTTGGGTGACTTCTGTCCAGATATTTTGCCCAATTTAAAATAGAGCTGTTTTCTATTGTTAAATCTTAAGATTTCTTCATGTTTTGGATCTGTCTTTTATCAGATGTATGTTTGGTAAATATTTCTTCCCAGTCTGTGGCTTATCTTTTCATCCTTTCACAGTGTGTTTTACTGTGAAACAATGTGTTTTCCAGAGCAGAAGTTCTAAATTGTAGTGAAGTGTAATTTGTTTTCCTTATGGATGGTATTTTCGGTTTTGAATCTTAAAAACTCACTGCCCCCCCCCCAAAAAAAAACTCATTGCAAAGCCCAAGGTCAGTACAGGTTTGTGTCCAAGTGATTTTTTAAAACTTTACAG